TTATACAAAATATAAATACATAAATAAATGCACAGAATCTCTTACTTTTAGTAAGCAACAAACTAAAGGGATCACAAAGCATAATCGGGAAGTTGAAATAAAGCATAATTGGGAAGTTGAAACAAAGCATAAACTAAGTATACATCCCTGGGATGTTTGCATCTCATACTCTGAGAAAGATGTAGCCAAAAGCAGAATAGCTAACTGCAAAAGATCCAGAAATTGGTGATCAGCATAAAAAAAGTGTAGGGCTACAACCCACGAAATAAAGATCTTTAGCCTACAAGGAGTGAATGCTCCGTGATTTAGCAGAACGCTAAAGTCACAAGCAGTATAGGAAAGATGAGCACCGTGATTTGCACAGCATAAGAGGCAGAAATTAACAAGTTACCTGAAGGCAGACTCGACACACACCACACCCCCAAAGAAAATCAGATGTTTGTTTTGGTTCTTCACCGATTTAGTTACTGCGAGGAAGCACTTCCGAACATCTCGGACACCAGCAGCTTACTCGGATTTCAAGAGCCACCGAGCAAACTCATCAAGGGCAAACTCATCAGGGGTTACGAGGCAGAAACACATTCCCTTAACTCCGGCAGTCCCGGAAACTGCTGGAAAGCAGGAGCCTGTGGGGCAGGAGCGTCACCCCGCCTTGCCCCGCGAGCCCAGCCCTGGGCCGAGTGCCAGCACCCCCGAGCGGCTCTACCGAGCGGCAGCGGAGGGTCCCAGTCCCCGGAGAGGAAGAAGGGGCGCGGTCCGTCCCCAGCAGCCCCCGCCCGGTACCTGCGGCCCCCGCCCGTATCTGCGGCGCCCCAACCTCGCTGCCCCACCCAGTACCTGCGCGCCCCTAGCCTAGCCCGGTACCTGCGGCCCTCGGCCCCGCTGCCCCGCCGTGCCGCGGTCACCGCCCGCCGTCCCTACGGGCCCCGTTCGGCGCCGCCGGACCCGGGCGACGCCATCTTGTCTGGGCCCCGCCGGCGGGATGGCGTCACGCTGTGGCGTCACCTGCGCCCGCCGGGCCAATCGGGAGCGGCGGGTGGTGACGTCACCACAACAGGGGGCGGGGCGAAGGCAGAGCCACGCCTCCCTTGGGGGCGGGGCCGGAGGGCACGGCCTGGGCCGGGAGTGTCCGTGTGTTGTCCATGTCCGTGTCCCTGTCCGTGTGCCCGTCCCCGTCCCTGTCGCTGTCGCCTGCCTCTGCCAGCCGTGACCCTGTCCCATCCCTGCCCCTGTTCCATCCCCTTACCAGCCACTGCCCGTGTTGCATCCCTCACTCTGCCCTGTTCCATCCCTGTCCCATCCCCTGTCTCTGCACTTGTCCCAGTCCATGCCTGTTCCGTCCCCGCCCCTGTCCTGCCCTCTCCCTGCCCCTGTTGCTGCTCCTGTCCCTATCCCTGTCTCTGTCCCTGCCCTTATCCCTATCCCTATCCCTGCCCCTATCCCTATCCCTGCCCCTATCCCTGTCCCTATCCCTGTCCTTGTCCCTATCCCTGTCCCTACCCCTATCCGTATCCCTATCCCTGTCCCTATCCCTATACCTGTCCTAGTCCCTATTCCTATCCCTGTCCCTGTCCCTATCCCTGTCCCTACCCCTATCCGTATCCCTATCCCTGTCCCTGCTCCTGTTGCTATCCCTATCCATGTCCCTACCCCTATCCATATCCCCCAGCCCCTATCCCTGCCCCTGTCCTTACCTCTGTCCCTATCCCCGTCCCTATCCCTATCCCTGTCACTGTCCCTGCCCCAATCCATATCCTTGTCCCTGTCCCTGCCCCTATCCCTGTCCTTATCCCTATCCCTGTCCCTGTCCTTACCCCTGTCCCTATGCCCATCCCTATCCCTGTCGCTGTCCCTGCCCCTGTCCCTATCCCTACCCCCTTACCAGCCCCTTCCCCGTTCCCTGTGCCATCTCTGTCCCTGCCCTTGTCCCTGTCCCTGTCCCTATCCCTGTCCTTGTCCCTATCCTTGTCCCTACCCCTATCCATATCCCTATCCCTGTCCCTATCCCTGTCCCTATCCCTTTCCCTATCCCCATACCTGTCCTAGTCTCTATTCCTATCCCTGTCCCTGTCCCTACCCCTATCCGTATCCCTATCCCTGTCCCTGCTCCTGTCCCTACCCCATCCATATCCCTGCCCCTATCTCTGTCCCTGTCGTTACCCCTATCCCTATCCCTATCCCTGTCCCTATCCCTACCCCCTTACCAGCCCCTGCCCCATTCCCTCTGCCATCTCTGTCCCTGCCCTTGTCCCTGTCCCTTTACCTGCTTCATTCCCTATTCTGTTCCCAGCTCCGGCCGTGCCCGGGAGCTCCCGCAGCGCCTCCTGCCCCTATCCCGGCTGTGCCAGGGCTCCCAAGGGGCTGATGAGGCTGGTGAGTGGGACACAGAGAGGCCATTTCACCCCACACCCTTCAGCCCCTTCCCTCAGCTGCCACGGCCAACTCACCCTCCCAAGGAGCTCAGGGGGACATTCCTGCTGGGTTTTCAGGCTTTGGAGCGGTCCTTGTTCAGAAATGGAGGGGTTTTGTCCCAAATGGGTGTGGTAGTTTTGTGTGTGAGGGTGGATATGGAGAGGGGAGTTGCTCATGGTAAATCACGACTGAAAATAGCCAAACTGGAATTACTGCTTGTACCCTCAGAAGAAGATGGAAAGCCTGAGGGGTTTTTTATGGCTTCTTTTTCAGTTTGGCTTCTCACAGCACCCTTGTCTTTGGTGATGGTTGGATGAAAACACAGAATAAAGGTCATAAAACCAATGCTGTATACATCAGGAAGATATGTACTGATTCCATGTGACTTGAGGCACCATCAGATATCAGGTGACCAGAAGCTGGCTTTTCCTTAAAGCCAGCCTGCATCTCACATGTTTTCCTTGTTTCTCTACCCAGCAATACCACTGGCAAGTAGTGGTTGCGGGGTTTGGATCATATGAAGCTTTGCCTCTGAAATAACAGAAAAAGAGTGTATGAGCCACGTAGACATCAGAAAAACCACTCGTCCTTCCACATGGATCTGAAAGGGGTACAATGAAATCTAAAGTCATACAAATGTATCTCTTTAATTCCCTAGCAGTAAGTGATTTCCCAGGTGGAATGTGTGGGAAAATGTGGGAGATTCAGGCCTCCTGGACAACTAACCAATATGATCAAGCAGAAGCCGCTTATTGTTTACATTACAGGCATATTTATGGATTCTACAAACTACTGAGTACACACTTCTTGATTGGTGCCTTTATCTTGTTAACTTGTTTTCTGCCTGCACTTCTCAGAGTGTATGATTGGTTACAGCCCAGGTGTTTCACAGTCCTGTTATCTAGTCCTTGTGGTCTTGATATTCTGTTTCTCAGCCTCTTCTTTCTTAATTTATCACAGTTTATGTTTCAGTAACCTTGATGAATTCCTGAGGCTTTGATAACAAACTTAGTAGCAGGCTGGCTGGTGCACACCATGGCGTAACACTTGCAAATACATTGCAACAGGAAAATGACTGGGGGTGAAACTGGGGAGTTACATTCATGTTCCAGCAGAATTATAAGAGCAGAATTATCGCAGAAAACAGAGGGTGAGGCGCAGTTACGACTGCCTGGGTGGGATGTGGTCAGCATGCCCAACTTCCCAAACACAGTCCATGCTAAAGGGGACTGAAGGGAGGTGGAGCAGACTGGAGACACCAGGGCCAGGCTCTGTTGAAATCCCAGCAAGAGGGGCGACTCAGTGGTGCAGATAAACTGTGTAGCAGCTGAAAAACAAGGAGGAAAAGGGTATGCTTTGCTGCTGAACCAGCTGCCCTGGAGAGGTCATAAATGCCCACCTCTACCCCTGAGGCTGCCTCAGATGTGACGCTGACATTACCCACCTCCAAGGTACAACCCTGGACATGATGCATGACTAGAGATACTCTCCTAAAAACAGAGTAACTAGGGCAAAAAAAGTATAAAGGTATGTTAAAAATGGGGAGAAGTTAGGGAAGGTTCCACTGTAACTTCTGGGATTGACTGACTGATCAGGCTGAACCTGTCAGAACTGTACTCTATATATGGTGATTGTTCATCACAATTGCTCTGAATACGTTTTTGCAGCCAGATCCTATCACCAGCAATCTTTGCACCTTAACCTGTCACAGTTTTCTATTACAATAATAAAAGATTATTGTTCTGTAAACTGTCTCTCAAGCTGTGAGTCCTTCAAGAGCATTAACAGTGCACAAAATACTTGAGTGTGCAGCCCTGGGAGCGGGCCTCTCTAATGCTTTTGGTGTGCATTGCTGGATATTTCCTGAGGTGCCAAGAGACCAGATAAAGGTGAAGAAACCCTCAAAGGCGTTTTTGTGTTTCCATGTGACCCTGAAAAAGTCAGCTGAACCACCTTCTGATCCAGTGGACTATTCACTATTCAGTGAAGAGTTGGACATTAGGAAGAATTTCTTCACAGAATGGGTGATTAAACTTTGGGAATGAGCTGCTCAGGGAGGTGGAGGAGTCACCGTTCTGGAGACCTTTGGGGAAAGACTGGACATGCATTCAGTGCCAAGGGTGGTCACTCATAAGTTGGACTGGGTGAGCTTAGAGGTCTTCTCCAGCCTAATTGATTCTCTGATTCTGTCCCCATAGTGGGACCCTAACAGACTGGTCGGGCACAAGTGTCTCGGTTTTCCTGGGGCGCTGACAGTCTGATCAAACACGAGTGGTTTGGGAAAATCGCCGTTTCCTGGGAGGAATTCCTGAACCCCACCTTGTACTGAGCCCGCCTGGCCGCTAGGGGGCGCCACACCCTCACCACGTTGGCTCCGCTGCCACGGCAACGGCAGAGGAGGCGTGGCCAGCTTGATGTCCTGCTAGGCAACAGGGCACCGGGGCGGGGCGGAACCGCCGCCGCAAAGCTGCGACTTCACTGTCGTAAAAAGAGAAAAAAACCGAAACCCCGTGGTGCTGTAAAATGCCGTGAGGCGCGGCCGTCGGGGCCTTAAGGACAGAGCCCGGGCCCGGTCCCGCTCCATATGCCCCGAACCGCCCCGTCCCGCTCCATGTGGGGCCGCTCCTCGTCCACAGCCTCCTCATCCTTCTACTATGGCCCGGAAAACAGTTAGCAGGAAGCGGAAAGCGGCGGCGGCTGCCGCCGCGGGGACCGGGGGACTCCAAGGGGGGCAGGTAAGGGGTGAGGCGGGGGGTAGGGGAGAAGCGCTGGTTCCCGGTGGTGGGAAGGGGGAGAAGCGCTGGTTCCCGGTGGTAGGAAGGGGGAGAAGCGCTGGTTCCCGGGGCGCGGCGGACGTGGCTGTCCCCGGGAGGAAGGGGGTGACCCTGTCCGAGGGATGGGGAAGGAAGGTGTCCGGGGGAGGGTTGGGGTTCCTGGGCGGCGGCAGCCACGGTCCCGGTGGTAGCCAGGGATGAGGAGCCCCCGGTCTCGGTGTCACCTGGCAGGGACAGCCCCGGTCCTGGTGTCACCCCAAGAGAGGCAGCCCCCAAGTGCCAGGGTCAGCGGGAGGAAGAGGGACAAGTGCCAGGGTCACCGGGGAGGAGGAGCCCCCAAGTGCCGGGGTCACCAGGGAGGAGGAGCCCCTGGTCCCCGGGTCAGTGCCCCGCTCTGTGCCCGCGCCCCGGGGCTCGCGGTGCCCCGTTGGGCTCGGCCGTTGTTCGGTCGCTGCCGCGGAGCGATGATGGCCGGATGGCTCTGGCCCGGCCGGAGGAGGCCGAGCGCCGCGGTCGGTACCGGGGAGTCACCTGGGTGTCACCCCTGCGCCTGCCGGGCTGGGAGGGAGGGCTGTGTGCGCTGCCCCTCTCCCGTTCCAAGCGCTCCGCTTTTCCCGTGAGCATTGGGCGTACCAACGGTGCCGAACCGCCACCGACTGTCGTTATATTGTCGCCGTGTTACTCCTTTAGCAGATGTTTATGTTTAATTCACACTGCTAAAGGTTTGTCAGCATTCCCGAGTTCATTTCCGTGCGCGGTGTTCCAAAGGCTTCAGGGTTTTGCCGGGGATATCGTTGAATTTGAAAGAGTGGTGTCCTAAAGTTTGTTTTAGTTGCTTTATCCAGTGTCTAACTTTATTATCCACAGTACGGGTGGGATCACTCTGTTCACAAAAGGAAAAGGCTCCCGCCGGTGAAAAGGTCTCTAGTGTACTACGTGAAAGGGAGAGAGGTCCGGATGCACAATGAGTCCAGCTACCACCGCTTGTTGCATGGATACGCGGCCCAGCAGCTCCCAAGCCTCCTGAAGGAGAGGGAATTTCACCTCGGAACACTCAATAAAGTCTTTGCCTCCCAGTGGCTAAACCACCGACAAGTGGTGTGCGGGACAAAATGCAACACGGTGAGTGCCCCCTCTCGCTGTTTTGTTTCCCTCTCCTCTATAATTATTTCACCTCCACCCTCAAACGATGCTTACCATAATCAAAGTGTGTGGATGACCAGGGGAAACATTAGGAATTAGGAGTGGAGTCAAAATCGCGCCTCATTAGCTTTCAATGAAAGCAGTGCTTAAGTATGATCTATTCTCATCTGAATGTGTGGCACTGTAAGCCCCAGCGAGGCACCTCTGGAAGCATCTGTGTGACCTTACAGAGCGATTTACACCTGGTTGTCGGATGAAGAGCCAACAGTGGGATTGGATCTTTCCTTTTGTCCTGCAGATGAGAAGCTAATGGACAGATATTTGTGTCTCTAATGGTGGCTGTCAGTGCTTGGCCAGACTTGCTGTTAAGGTTCCTTTTTTCTGTTACTCTCAATCTTATACAATTTGGTTTTACATGTGGTTCTGTGCTGATGGCTTTTAAAAGTTGTTTTAAAACTGTGGTTAAACTCGAGGTATTTGTCAGAGCAGCCAGAAATGTTCTGAGGTTAAAAAAACCCATAATTTCAGATCTTCTGTGTTGCTTGTTGACTTCATAATTATTAACTGTAAAACCGTTTCCAGTGTTTGAATAGCTTCTGTGGTTTATATATCTTTTCATGCTTCTACAGAAACTGACAACTCCTCAGGTTCTTAAAGTGATGCTTTGACACATTTCAGGGGAATATTAAAATGGTGTCTAATCCTGTGGGATTAGTAAATGGAGGAGACCATATTTCATAGGTATTATTCACCACCAGAGTTAGCAGTCCAAGGTCATTGGCTGAGGTTGCAGTTTCATGCAAGGAGTTGTGATTGAATTGGTGCAAAATCCTAAACTGCAGGTTAGTTGGTGCCACAGATGGGAATTGAAGGTTACAAGGAATGAATGCATAGATGCAGCAGCTCTTAAATCTCAGAGCGTATCAGGTGCTGCAATTGCTTCTTTGCCTCAAGATCCTTCTGTTCCAAAGCCTTGCTCAGTGGTCTGACCAGCCCAAGGGTTAGTGGGCTGTTTTTTTCCATTTCTGATGAAACCTTCTGAGATGTTCTGTTATTATTCACAGTTGCACAGGGGGAGGCTTTTATGCAGTAGCTCTAAAGAAGCAAGGCCGAACTGTATAAACAAAGCAATCTTTTAACAGCAATAAGCTCAGAATAGAATTTCTCTGCCTACTTTCTCCACATACGTTCATCTCCTCAGCCAGTCAGCAGCCAGCACTGCTTGTGGTTGTAGAGCTGCTTACGGGAGACAAACTCCTGCTGAAACACAAGCTCCCAAAGATCTTGCTTACTCTAGCAAGATGACTGTGTGTTTAATAGAGTTGCCACGATTTTGCTGTGTTCTGTAACTTTTGTAGCTCGGACGCATCTGCAGTGAAGATAAATGGGCAATTGGGTTGTTAACGCAACCTTGCAGAAAATTGTTTGGAACCAAACAATCATGAAGCTGAAGAGGGATTCAGTAGTATTTTTGTTCCCTTTGCACATGCTGCAACCAAGAGTGTTTGTCCACAGCCAGACTTAATGTTAGAGACAGACCTCCTCTGTCATTGAGCAAAATAGTGATTGCAAAAGAAGTTCCTGAAGCATTGTGAAAGATCATATATGAATTATGACTGCTGTAATAGCTGTACCTTGTTTGCTTTGTGCTCGCATTTGAACAAGTAAAGCATTAAACTCTACACTCTAATTACGAGATTTTTCTCTCTCATCTCCTTAGTGAGTGACGTATTAAAGAAAAATGCCTTTGCTGATTCTCATATGCTGAATGTGGCATTCAAGTTGGGAGTAAATTGAAAACACCTTGGTTGACTTCAGTGAGGTTTGCTGCATTGGAGTTGCCTTTAATTAAAGTTATTGCAAGAGAAAAATATAAACTATAGCAGTTATTTTGATCAGGGCTTGACTGTGGCACTGTGTGCTTTTAGCATTTAATTTATAAATTACCCTTCACTGTGCAGTGCCAGGAGGATTCAGTGTTCTTAATGACAAAACAAAAATATGCTCTTGTCATAGAGAAAGAAGTTTGGGTTTAGTCACTTGGCAGTTACTAGTTACTATAAAAGTACTGAAGAGAATATAGAGTTTTCTGTCAATTACTCTTTTTTTTGATGACAATTATAATTTGTTCAGTTATATGGAGTAACTTTTTATCTTTAAAACTATTCCAGGGAGTGAAATAACTTTATTCTACTCCAGTGGACCATGGTGCTCATAGTTGAGCAGTAAATCAAATATTTCAGATACTTGTGTTCTGTAAAGGTGCATGCTTTTTCCAGTTGATTTAAAATTATGGGAACTATTGCAAGCATTCAAGCACCTAAAATTTCAAATTAAATCACCCCGACTTTTCACCTGGGCTTTGCAGAGCTGGGATTCCTGTTTGTAAGAATTTCCTAGACCTTGCACGCAGTGGGCTCCTTAATGTTTTTCCAATTCAGATGAATGAGCAGGGAACTTTGTAGGGGTGCAGACATTTAGGGTGTGTTCTGATAGGTATCTAAATTACCAAAAACTGATGCTGTGAAGGTACATAGAAGAAACTGTCTCAGAAGAAGATAGGGTCTGTAATCTGCAGTCTTCTGAGAGAAACTTATGAGACTTAGGTAGGAGATAGGTTTATGGCAGACAAAAACATAGAACACGAAGTTCCTGTGTTTCAGTTTGGTTTTTTTTTTCCTCTTTACTATTTCAGGAAATTATGAAGAATAAAGTGGCATCTAAAAAGTAGTTTCTGTAATAATTTTTCAGCCTCTTTTGCTCTGTTAGTTACATGTACATGTTCAAGATATAATCCTTTCTCTAATTGCAAAGTTAAAGATGAAAAGCTGTAAGAACTGTAAATCATTCCCTAAATACAAGAAGCTAATTAGTTTCCAGTTGCTTGAGAATATATTTGCTTGGAATCTAGTTTGTTTTTTTTTTTTTCTTTTTCCAGACAAGCGCTATAGATGTATTTGTGTTTGAAAACTTCCTTTCTGAATGCTCTGAATTGATTTCCAAGGCAGCTTCTCCAAGGCATGTTTGGGTTGGTTTCTGAATGCTGGCTGAAACCTTTTCTGTCTTTAGCAGATTGCTGTGGTGTTTCCTTGGCTGCCCTGCTGTAGGTCACCAGCTCTCATTTCCTATTAGAGACTTTAAACTTGTTTCAGGAGATCCTGTGTCTGTTCTGTGCATCTCATACAGTTACAGCCTGGTCTTGTAGTCCTGAGATTGTGGTGAGAGTGCAATGGGAAGTTCCTCCTCTCTCTGTGAATGTGAACTGTCTATGAGGAAAATTATTTCCACTTGCTTTGCAAGTTACTGTGTCTTCTGGCTTTGCAGAAAATGAGAAGTGTCCTCCAGTTTGTAGCTCTATTCAAAGTCCAGTGAAGAGTGACTGAAACTTGGTGTAAATCAACTTTTGATGTCTGTAGTTGATATCTCCATTCACATGTCTTTCAGTGGCTCATGACCAGATAGCCTGGTGTTGGTTTCTTGTCTGAAGAGTATTTGCTTTTCTGTCAACTGCATGTGACAGAACTGTCTGGCAGTTTCTGTTCCAGGTATGATATGAGTTGTAGGGATGCCCTTTAGCAGACAACGTCTGTCACTTCTCCGTCTTTTGCCATCTGTCAGCATGTATTAACTGTCTCCCAGCCCCCTGAAATTAAACATGGAGGGCCAAATGCAAATAAAAAATTATAAATGTGATTTTGGCACTGCACAAATGCAGTAACATCAAAGTCTGTGGCTATTATCTGGTAGTGCTTCAGAGTTTGACAGAAAGGTGGAGTGCCTCATTTCAGGGTCTTGTCTCTAGAAATGTGAATTCAAAGTCAACCAACTTGCTGGCTGCTTTTACTTCTCCTCACTTCTCAGGTGGTTTCTTTATATTGTGGATTGTTTTGCTTGAGACCCTTTCAAGAAGGATGTGCAGGGCCATTACGCCCTTGAGTTGCCTCTACTGCATAACCTGTTTTGTGCTAAGATTAGTGCATGTTAACGTGGCTTTCCCTGTGATGTTCGAAAAGTCATATCAGGAAAATGAAGTCCCAGGTGACTGGAAAAGGGAAGCCATTGTATCTCTCTGGAGAAGTGGTAGAAAGAAAGACTCCAGGAACTACTGACCTGCCAGCCTCCCCTCTGTGTCTGGGAAGATCATGGGATCTGATTTCCTCCTAGAAACTCTGCTAAGGCACATGGAGGACAGGGGGGTGAATTGAGGCAGCCAGCATGGCTTTACCAAGGGTAAATCCTGCCTGACAAACCAGAGGCCTTCTGTGATGCAGTGATGGCAGGAATGGACAAGGAAAGGGTTACAGGTGTCATTTATCTGGACTTTTGTACAGCCTTTGACACAGTCCCCCACAACATCCTTCTGTATAAATTGGAGGGAGATGGATTTGAAGGATGGACTGTTGGGTGGCGAGGCGTTGGTTGGATAATGACATCCAGAGGTGGTTGGATAATCACATCAGAGTTGGTTGGTTGGATGAGTGGAGTCCTTCACGGATCCGTACAGGCACCATTGTTGTTTAATATCCTCATGAAGGGCATATATAGAGGGATCCAGTGCACTCACAGCAAGTTCGATGGCAGCACCAAGCTGATGGTGCTCTGACACACCTGAAGGATGGGATGCCATCCAGAGACAAGCTCAAGGAGTGGGTCCATGGGAACATCATAAAGTTCAAGGCCAAGTGCTGGTGCTGCCCCTGGGCTGGGACAGCCCCTGGTACCAGCCCAGGCTGGGCATGAGCAGCCCCAGAGCAGCCGTGCCCAGAAGGGCTTGGGAGTGCTGTGGGTGAGAGGCTGCACATGGCCCAGCCATGGCACTCCCAGCCCAGAGAGCCAAACGTGTCCTGGGCTGCACCCAGAGCCCCGTGGGCAGCAGGGCAGGGAGGGGATTCTGCCCCTCTGCTCTGCTCTGCTGAGACCCACCTGGAGCACTGCATCCAGCCCTGGGCTCCCAGCACAGGAACCACAGGGACCTGCTGGAGCCAGCACAGAGGAGCCACCAAGGGGATCAGAGGGATGGAGCACCTCTTCTACAAGGAAAGGCTGAGAGAGTTTTAGTAGTTCAGCCTGGAGGAGAGGAGGCTCTGAGAAGACCTTATAGTGTCCTTCCAGTACCCAAAGGGAACTTTAAAAAAGATAGGGACAGAGGAATTGAACAGGGCTTGTTGTGACTGGAGAAGAGGTGATGGTTTTCAATTAAAGGAGTCACACTAGATACAAGGAAGATTCTTAAGCTTTACCATCAGGGTAGTGACACACCAGCATGGGTTGCCTACACAACTGGTGAGTGGTCTATCCATGGAAGCATTGAAGGACAGGTTGGACAGAGTTCTGAGTAACCTGGTCTAGCTGATGTCCCTGCTTGCTGCTGGGCACTTGGATGAGACAACCTTTAAGGGTTCCTTGCAACCCAAACCATGCTATGCTGCTTTATTTTGATCTTCAGCAGAAAGTGGACATACCATGCCTGTTTGGTAAAGTGTCCATGTTTCTTTGGGGCTTGGCATATATTAGTAAATCTGTATTGCTACAGAAAAAAGAACCTGATGCCAAGTGTTTTATGAACAGAAAAGAAAGAGATTTATCATCTGAATAAAAGTCAAGGCTGAGAACTTGGAAAAATCAATCACTGCTACTCAGGTGTGACCAGAAATACTATTGATGTAATAGCAGAATAAGTATTGTCTTCTTTTGTTGTTTTGTTAGCAAAAAACATATTTGAAGGACCACAAGTAATAATTCTCCAGCTTGGCTGTGGGAGAGATCTTTTTGTGACCAGCCTTAGTTAGTCTGGAGTCATGCGTCTTGCACAAGTGGATGTTCCCACCTGCTCGTTTTGGCTAGCACTGGCTATGGAGCTAGGCTTGTGCATGTGGCTAGGGAGTCATCTGGATCAGCTTGCTGCTTTGTGTGCAGACAGGTTTTCTTGTAGGGTTAGTTTCACCAAGATAGATACAGTCGACCTTGCAGCTACTTGAGCACTAGTTATTGTCACAAGGGTGATCAGACTGTTTAGGTGGATGGTGAGGAGGAGGCACGTAAGTTCTCAAAATAGGCTTAAGCCAGTTGTGAAACTTGAATGTGATTGAGTCTCTTTTAGTGACTGCTTTTAGCAGGGCAGTGTACTTATGTTGGGTTTCTTTCAAAAGTTACTATGAATGACAAGAATGTGCCCATGATTTCTGAGAGCACTGTGTGAAGAGCTGGTGCACAGACTGTGTTGTCAGCTCTTGCACAAAGAATGAACAGTCTCTTTCATGCATGCCATTTGCGCCTTTTAGATCTCCATCCATCTTGCTTGTGTAATAAAAACAGGATGGTGCTCTTTATTTTTGTTTAAATTGATTTGTACAACCAACTAAAAGATAGGGTAGGATTTGGAACTGTTCATCTGCTGTTTTTTGTGCAGGGGCAGCAGCTGAAGACACGAGTCTGTACTGCCTTGAGACGGCATTCATAGACCTCTTTTTTAATCTTGCTGTTTAAAGTGAATGCTTTCAGTTGAAGATACATGGGAAGGGAATTTATCTGTATTGGATTGTTAGCTTTCTGTGAGTTTCTTCCCCCTAAATTATTGTGTCCTGAAAGGCAGGCCAAAAAAATGAAAAAAACCTGGTAAACCATTCTGCTCTCAGTATTGCATATAAGAGTATGATGGGTTTTGCAGTTCATACTCTCATCCTTGGATACTCTGTTTCCTGCCGCAGTCTTTACTTTTGGCAAGTTGATTAATGAACTTCCCTCATCAGTGAAGCAAGGTAGTTCCTTGATTATCTTGATCATAAGCAGGTTGGACAGCCAGGAAAACAGCCATATAGTAATTGCAGGGAAGCCTTTTGCTAAAATGAGTTCTCACCACTTCTGCAGCCTAAAAGAAAAATAAGTGTACAGCTGTCACTCTCTGCAAATGTGCAAAGATCATGAAGTTTCATGGCTATGTCAGCTGTAGTACCTAACCATGCTTGTCTGCCTTGATCCTTGAGTGATAGCACTGTTGCAAGCTGTGCATCCAAACTGCTTTAAAAAAAAGAGGGAAAATTGATTTCTCTCTTCCGTGTCATCCAGCCTGTTTCCTTGTTAGAACACAGTTGTCTGGCATAGAGCATGGCAGCTGAGTCTGCTTTGTTTCTCACAGATGAAGTGTGGTCCTTGCACTTCTGCCAGATGGCTGAAGCAATCCAGATTTGGTAAATCCTGGATGTTGTTTGGCATAGTAAAGACTGACATGCATGTTTTATTAGAAGGAAGAACCAAATTTTGTGCAAAGCTTAAAATCAAGAGACAAATACATGCAATTCAGTGTTTGGAGACTGGTGGAGGTTTTTTTATGTCCAGCAAAAACATTGTGGGCTGGGTTTTAGTTTTTATACAATGAGTAGCTGGGAAAAAAATCTTATTTCTCTTTGAGGTAACTGAACCATACAGTAATTTTCTCTGTTATCAGGACTTTGTCAAGACTTTTAATGTCTACTCTGCTTTGAAGTTGTTGGCAGATGTATTTATTTAAACGGCTGAAAATATTTTGTATTTTATTTATTCTGGTATCTTTAAAACTTCTGAAATGGTATTGAAATTTTCTGCTGGGTTCTTCTCTTTTTTTTTAACATTTCTCCCTTTTTGGCTTTAAAAATGTCTACTGACTGTGGCTTATCTTGGCTTCTGTGTGCACCAGAGGTGCGGCTTTCAAGTGTGAGCTTTTGCTTCCTGTTATGCCCCAGGTAGTGTAAGAATCTCTGCGTGTAGGCAGTGGTTGCTTATTTTACTCAAGGGAGGTGATGGTTGTTGTTAAACTACTCTTTGGCCAAGTTCCTTACCAAGCAAGTGGAGAAGTTATTGCTCTGACCTTTACATCCAAAACAACATAGCCAATCCCTTACATGTGCAAAGTTTAAGTTCTTTATCTTTTTAGTCTGATTAGTTTAGAGTTTAGATGAAAGTATTTTGCGTTAGAGTAAGTTTTTATTAACCAACACAGGTGTATGACGAGGGTGTCAGACTAGAGAATGCAAAGGGGTTTTAATTTCATTCGTCCTACCAGTTGACTTGTACTTCCAATCATGAATCTGTTACAGCTGAAGCACAATTCTTCTGAGTCCATGAAAGTCCTTAGGTGTGGATATGTTTTCCTAATTAGTACAACATTAGGACCTGGACCTGACACCTGCAAGCTTTAATCCTAACTCATAAACTGTTAATTTTTTTTAGGGTTTTGGGTTTGCTTGAGTAGTTTAAGGAGGATTGGGGAGGCAATTGGGCATTTCTGCTGGAAAGAAATACTGGGGATGAAGGGAGATATGCACTCATATGGAGAGGACAAGGGAGGGTGAGAGGAGAGGAAATGACTGATCCTGATTCTTCAGTGCAGGTGTTAATTTTCAGGTGGTTAGGGCAGAAAGACTGCTGTGTGCATTGTGTTCTTACCAGCTGTCTCCAGCAGTGAAGGCTTTGTAAGGCTTGGGAAGAGTAAGGAGTGCCTCCCTCCTACTCAGCTACACCGCAGCTGTTGCCATACACCACATGTTTGTGCAAAATAAAAAAGTAAACATGAAAATGCAGTCTCTGTAGGAATCATCTGTTTGTGCAAAACTGCTACCTACAATCAATTGTAGGATTAAGTTGATGCATAATTCTAGACACAACAGACTAATAGCAACGAGTGGATTTCATCTTTTCTGTGGAATGTGTATCAAAACTTTATCAGGTTTTGATAGCATGTTAGTATTCTGCTAGTTCAGTACTAGCAGAAGTAATAGATATGCTGCTAAATTATCTTTATGTTATTTTTCCTATGCTTTTATTAAAGAACAGATCTACACTCTGTATGAGTTCACCAAAAGCAGCTTGTATGTATAATTTCTCTCTAAGAACCTCTAGATTTTCTTCTGGCCTTTTAGAAATGTCTGACAAAGGATTTCAGAACAATTTCCTTAAGGTGTGTATTTTTAAAATTTGTATTGAGGGTTTTTGTTGTTACTGTTGTCATCTTTGGTTCCAGAGGTTTTGAGAAGGCATTCCTGGTTATAGAAGGAACAGACTAAAGATGATGTAGAATTATAATCCTGGGCTATGGATTCTAGATCACTCGCCTTAGTGCTAAGTCAGCTTCAGATCCTCCATTTCATTGCCTCACTCATGTTCCCTCACAGGGCTTGGTCTCCTCTGTTAGACCTATTTGACTGTCAGTGCAGCTGTCCTCTGAGCACCATCTGTAAAATGACCCAGGCCATGAGCCTCCCAAATGAGAGTGGACTTTGGCAGGCAATGTAAACCTTTGTTCTGGTTTAAATTGTAATCTCGTGGTTGTATGTGTCTGAACTGACACAACGCTGGGCATAGGGTCTGTTTGAAGAGTTGTAAGGCTTTATAACAGTTTTCTGGCAAGGTGTCAGTGACATACTGCTCTAATTTCTTGTCTTTTTGTGGAATGAGGTATATAGCTAAATATCTTTCTTTCAGATGTTCACACAGGCAGTACTGTATTTAGCTACTATTCTCTGTTTATCAGCAGAAAATAAATTCCACTTGCATAAACTGTCAGTCTCTCCAAGCCAAAACTTAATGGTAACTGTGTTACTTGGGAGGCAGGAAGAATTGTGCTAAGCTCCATGGGGCTTAATGGCTTTTTTGAGGTGGGTTTTTTCCCTCGCTGTGGTAGGTGGAAATTAAAGGACAATATTGTTTTGTCGTACTGAACAGGGAAAAGAGTTTTATATTCAAGGTCTTTTTATTCAAGTGGGAAACCTCCCATGACAGATTTCTCTCCTCTCCCTTCCATTACTGTGAAAATGAAATTGGATGATTGATTTAAACCCACTGTAATTGTTACTTAACCTGTTTTGAGAAGGAATTTATGCATTTTTTTTCAGCAATCCTTGAAGCATTTGTGGATTTCAACTCAAAAATAATGTCAGTTCAAAATAGGGAGGATATTTGACCATCTTGTTTTTCTTACCTGTTTTTTTTTTCCCCAGTTATTTGTAGTAGATGTCCAGACTGGTCAAATTACCAAGATTCCTATCCTGAAGGATCGTGAGCCTGGCATGGTGAACCAGCAGGGATGTGGCATTCATGCCATTGAGATCAACCCCTCGAGGACCCTCCTGGCCACAGGTGGAGACAACCCCAACAGTCTTGCAATTTATCGTCTGCCTACACTTGATCCTGTCTGTGTGGGAGATGTAAGTGGGAGTATCTGGGGAAAATGTATTCTCTCACTTAGAAGTTATCATTTTGAAGTGTGTTTGATCAGAGCAAGGTTAATATTTAGGAGTCTTGTAAGGAAGTAAAATTCTGAAAACATTTCTGATTGAGTTGTCATTTCTGCTGTGGTATCTTAAATATAATTGAGTATTCAAACATGTGAGTGGATTTTCAGGGCTTTGGGTCAGATTTCTTCCTCACCTTCATTCAGGTCTACTTTAGCTTACTTTTCAGCACAAAAAATGTAACAAAATCCTAAGTATTAAAGTCTAACTCTGGTGATGAGCTCTGAAACTATTTATAGTGAAAAAGCTCTTTAGAGAAATGAAAAATATGTTGCAAGTTTTTAAATTTTTCCCCTTATCCCAGTGCAGCTTCTGGATGTATTATTCCAGAGATGGAACTTGGTGTTGAAGATTGGTTCTAACCTTGTGGCTTGTGGCAGTTCGATACAAACTGGTACTGTTTTTAAAACATCCTGAGGCCTTTTTAAAATGGCCAGTCTTTAAAAAAACAGGTTAGCGAATATAGTGGTGTCCTGTGAGTGCTTCTCTCTCATTTCTCCTTTTTATTCAGAATTTCATGTAGATGTTAACAGCAACAGCAGAGGTCAGGTCAGAGTTTCTGCAGCAGCAGATAATCAGCTAGAGCAAGACTTGACTGAAGATTTGCATGACTTGCTCTTCATTTGTGTCACTTTTTAGCTTTTTAAACAAAACTAGAGTCTTATGATCCTTTTTTTCCCCCCACAGGTTTCTCACACACTAAAGAAAAGTCTTGAAACATTAATCTTAGGTTATGTATTGTAAACATAAGATTTTGGTTATTTTTTTATAGTAGGATATATGTTGGAAGAAAAAAATCCTGACAAATAGATACTTTACAGAAGAATGCTGCTTTCAGAATGGAAAATGTGAGAATTCTGGAAATTCTTAGAATTTAGATTATTTTTTCCTTGGTCAGAGGCCTGTTTTTCCAAGACCTGTTTTTTTTTCTTTTTATTAATTGCACACTTCAGAACCAGAAAAGTTAAAATTACTGCTAGGTACTTGAGGTGTTCTAGCTTGATACTGGAATCTTATCTGTATACTTTTGATGTAGGTCTGTCCTTCTGAGCTTGTACTAAAAATTGCAGTGAAGGATACTTGTCTGCTTTGAGACTGCTCTTGAGTATAATGGCACAGAAAAATTTCTCTTTGTTCTTTTAGGATGGACACAAAGACTGGATTTTTTCAATTGCATGGATCAGTGATACTATGGCTGTTTCTGGTAAAATCATGCTTTTTCTCTTGAGTTTTTCTTTTGTGCCCTTGTGTTTTAACCTTTCCTTCTCTCTGAATGTTATAGTGATGCACAGTATTTGATAAGTGTTAGGAAGGCACCTCTGTGGGGGCATTTAAACAATTCCTGGACTTAGTACAGTGCTTCATTTTATTTTGTTGTTGGGCCTTAGTCTAGATCTGATTTTCCTAGTATTAGAATATTGTGTTTCTAGTGAAGGGGACGTTTGAACACAATGACTTACAGGAAAAGATTCCACATAAGAGGAGTAATTTCAAGAGGGATGTTTGTTATTGGTTAATCACTTCAGAACACTTGAGATCAATATTGGCTTCCTGAAGTCATGTGACAGTGTAATTAATGAGAACTCAGATTGTTTCATCAAGCTCTCAGTACAGCTGTTTCTGTATGTGTATATGTATATATGTGCTTACACTATGGCAGTCAATACAGAAGGCTGTAATAGAGAAACTCAGTTAATGACTTTTTGGTGATTAGTTGGATAATCAATGTAACTTCATAAAGAATTGCTTAGGTAAAGGTAAAAATAATAATGTTTTGTTGCATTAATTCAGCAGTTTACTGCCTTTCTGTGCTGAAAGGGTGTACTGTTCTGTACTCAGAGTTGTCAAACTGCAGGTGAGAGAAAATCATAATAGTCTTATATAAAAGCCACATATTTGAATTGGTTTAGTTTAGTAGGATTGGTTTAGTTTAGTAGGATTTTTCTTCCAAATCCAAAAAGCTAATCCCGGAATTTCATTTTTTAATTTAATATAAAACCTGATCCTGCAAGTCTCTACCCAAAATGTGTACAGCAGTTCCCTCACATTCAAGCTAGTAAGCTTGAAGAGAACAGCACAGATGATTACAGATGCCCAGGGGAAAGATAAGGGCCTGATAGATTGCATAGCATGTGAGATGGAACTGATGGAAAGGTCAGGGGTGGATGTGTGAGTGGAAGTGTTCTCTAGTGCCATATTCTCTGCTGTGGTGCTTATAGCAGGCTGGATGTAGGTTCCAGTCTGCACATCTCAGACACCAGGGAAAACTTGTTGAAAGCAGTTAGCAAGACTGGTTGCAAAACTGAATTCTTTAGAACTCACCGACAACCCTAATTAAGAGTGAAAAAAAGACAACTAACTTCTGACATGACTTTAATTGTACAGATTTCAATTACATCTGTATCTGAAAGTGTTAAGCAGAAATACTTGAACTCCCCTCTAGACATTGAGGATATAGCCACTATTTTTATGGCAAAAAGCTTCAGATTAGATGAATAATTCCCAGGATGACATGAGTTTAGGGTAGCAAATGATACTCTGCTTGGCTTCAGGACTAACCAGTTGAACAACATACATGGACTTTTCCCCCTGCCAGAGCTATTAAAAGGGACAGCTTCCTCCAAAAGTATGTCAACATGTTTAGAAATTTTACTGCTGAGTATTCAGCCTCCATAACAAACAAGATTAGGTGCAATTAAAACCAATGGCATGTAATGGAGTGGCAAGATGTTGTGCTGCTGGATGCAAGTGCCATTAGGATGCTCCTTTTTGTATTTTTCTCTAGTAGGTGACAGTGGCAGATGCCTGAATCCATCTGTGTGGGGGAAAAGCCACCTCTGCTGTGCTGGACCACTCCTGTTGCAACAAGATGTTTTGCTTTACTGTCTTTGCAGCTTTTCCCCTGTGAGATAGCAAAGCTGATAAGTTTAATAGCCTCATAGATATATAGCTTTTCTGGCATCTTCATTATGACTTTCTTTTGACAGAATTTTTCACATTATGTAAAGAAATTGAGGTACCTGTCAAATCTGTCAGAGCTGACTCAGATGGAAGTGAGTTGTCTGAACACCAGAAGAGATGTATATAAGGTCTTGGATTAAGTCTGTATTGATCGGTGAACCAGAGGCATTCAGCTTTCTTGATCCAGTGTTCTTAACATTAGTGATTCATATCTTAGATTAATGTCTTCAAATTTAGTAGAAAAATAAAATGAGTTATTGTCTGTTTTTCCTAAGTTACATTCGTTGAGAAGTGGCACAGGTTTTAGTGAAATAATTTTTCTGATAGATTTAATCCAAAGTGGTACAACTGTGATTAGAAATAAATGTTTGTGTTCAGCTCACAAATTACTGTGTACTCAGCCATAAGCATAGTGACGGAAATCAAGTAAACCCAAATTGGCATAAACCCTGCTGAGGTTTTTGTGGAAATATTTTGCATTGGTTTAACAGACTGGTTTACCAAGGCTGAGAGTGACAGGCTCAGGCTGAAGCTGTAGTGTTCAGTCACTTCTGAGTTCATTGTGTATATGAGATGATGATTGTTGCACAGGGTTGTGGGTTTTGATGCATCCTAATTAGTTTGAAAATATATGAGATTGTCTGGCTGCTTGGAAACCATAGAGACAGTTGACAGTGACTTCATAATATTCTGAACTTTACAGCTCAGTAAAATCATCCTTTTGTTAATATGTGGGTGCTAACAGCATGTTGTGTTAGATTAAACTAAGAGTATCCTTTTTTTCAGACCCTATTGATTAATCCTTTTCTTAGAAAAGAGGAGTTCTGTATATGTGGAATGGACTATTCATGTGTGGACTATTCATCAGGTTCCCGGGATGGTTCGATGGGTCTCTGGGAAGTCACAGAGGATGTGTTATCCAAAAGTGATGCCAGGCATAATCTCTCTCAAGTTCCTGTCTATGCCCACATAACACACAGTGTTCTGAAGGATATCCCCAAGGAGAACACCAATCCTGACAATTGCAAAGTCCGAGCACTGGCTTTCAACAATAAGAACAAGGTCAGTAAGACAAGCAAAACAGTTGAGAAATCCTAAAACTGTCCCTGTGTATTGGAAAAACTAAAAAGTAAGCTAAATAGAATATGCCAGAGAAGCAAGTTAATATGTTTTTTCTTTGATTATTTTGCATCCTTGTCTTTTGAGGCAGTGGTTTTAATCTGCAACATCTGCTTCTGCCCCAAGTGAATGGAGGAGTCCAGAAGGGAAAAAAAAACCAACTCCAGACATTTTAGAAGGCACAGTTTTCCTGTGGGTTTGATTTTAGATTTGCATCTTAAGCAGGGGAGTAAAGAAATATTTACAAGAAGACAAGAAAGCACGAAAACATCTCTTGCAGCTTGAATCCCATTCTTTAGTGCTCTTTCTGCTTTCATTCACGTTCTGTGAAGACCAGCTAACATTTAACAGTTGCTGTTTCAGTGGCTGAATCCTTTCTGTATTGCTCAGCAGATGAGGTGACTGACTCACAGGGCAGGCACTAGTGCATGCTTTGGGGTTATTTTGTTGGTATTTGACAAACAGTAAATGTCAATCTCCCCCATCCTGATCTTGTTATTACTAGTGGGTGTAGCAATTCATCCTTCACCACTTTTTTTTTTCCCCTCCTGCACTCAGAGAACAGAAGAGGTCTGAAGCAAAAGTGGGAGTGCTGTCTGAAGCACAGTGATCCTGTAGGCTTTATTTTTCACAATAGTTGTTAGTTACTCCTCCATGATGGAAACTTGATGTAACTTTTTCAGTAGAGTAGTGCCTGAAACTTGCTTCAGGGTTAGAATCAGTGTGGGACCTGCTGAAGAGAATTGTCAGCTCTAGATTGTACTGTCACATAATTCGTTATTTGATTGCCTAGCAAGATTTATGGTTTTGAAAGTTATTATTTACTCTTTTGCTAATTTAGATTCTACTTGACACCTGAAGTACTGTATACCATTCTATGAAGATCAGTATAAAATAAAAATTATCTTGATAGAGCCTTTACAGGATTATGGATTAATTCAATGCAGACTCTGCAGCCTGCCTAGAATAGAGTGTGAGTTTGTAAGGATAGCTATAATGCTATCCTAACTAACTCTCTTCTTTTTATTTTTCTTCTAATAGGAGTTGGGAGCTGTGTCCCTGGATGGGTATTTTCATCTTTGGAAAGCAGAGCACACGCTATCAAAGGTGCTTTTCCGTTTGTTGGAGTTGAACTTCAAAAACTGCAAGCAGTTAAGGCTGTTGACTATTCTTGATTTCCTTCAAATACTTGAAGAGCAGCAGTATTTGTAAAACACTTAAAAGTTCTATGTAAAATGAAATGTCCTGAAATTTGAAGCTTGAAGAGGAGAGAAACTCCGCACTCCCCTTAATTGAGAGGACAGGAAGCATTCTTAACTTTCTGCTAGTTTCGGATTAGCTGAAGTGAAATGTTGCATGGAGTACGGTGGATACTTGATCAGTAGAATTCATTAAGTATAATGGCAAATCACACCCAGCGAATGTGATATGCTTTTTTAGCTGAGAGCTGAAGTTGCTGTGCACCTGCTAAAGATATAGCAGCAGCTTAGAAGGATCTAAAACAATTTATTGAAATGTCCATTTTTCTTGGCTTTGGCCTTTATTGTCTCAGTTTGCTTTAGATAAGGCATGCCATTGCTTCAGGCTTTTTCCTTCTGGGTCTTATTTTTCACCTGCATTATGTGTTTTATTTCCCTGCAGCTTCCTAGAACATAGTTTACAAAACTGTTTTGTTAACGCCTTCGTCTTTTCTTGTAACAGGTTGATTTTTATTTTTTCTCTTTCCAGTTGCTTTCCACAAAGTTGCCATACTGCAGGGAGAACGTGTGTTTGGCTTATGGTCAGGAGTGGTCAGTGTATGCAGTAGGATCACAGGCACATGTCTCTTTTCTGGATCCAAGGCAGCCTTCTCACAATGTTAAATCCGTCTGTTCCAAAGAACGAGGCAGCGGTAAGAAACCTGTGAAAGGTGCTTCAAATGGTTTGCTTGCAGAAGTAGCTGTTAAAACTGTAGTAAGTCAAGCTTCTAATGCACAAGAAGCGCTTTTTAGTGATTGGCTAAATAATTAGCAGTGATGTATAGATTTGGGTTTGTGACAGTATACCTGGAGCAACCAACAAACCAAATGTGACCAGCTCTGAAATCTAATGAAGGGCAACATCACTGCCATTAGGAGCAACTCAATTGTAAACCATCCAGATATTACTGAACTTGCAAAAGTGTGCATTTTTACTTCTGTGTATTTTTTACTGGGTCTTACTCTATTTTTTATCATCTCAAAGCAAATGTAGTCTTTTCACCACTATTTATACTGTTCTTGCATTCTTTTCTATGAATTAGAAAAAAGGCATGTTGCCTGCTTTGTGCTACCTTATTGGAAGTATGTGCTGTGAGGAAAAGCTTGCTTTGTAATTTTAAAGCCGTGACTGAGACTTCTGATTTTCTGTGTGATTGGATTGCTATTTCCTTTTCTCATGGATGCAGTATGTCCAGTTGAACCTTATACCAGGGCCAGGCCTGAGGGTTTGCAGAGTGCATGGTCCCATAAAGTTCTCTCCATATTCTTTACTATCAAGCATGAGAAGGCACAGTGAGTGCTATATTAATCCCAGACCAGTAAGTTGCAGTCCTTACTTAGCTTGTCTCTGGGCTTCCATCTCTTCTTCAAGCAGGTTACCAGAGGAGGACATATGTCGGCAAAGATAGGAAAGTTTTATTTATGCAGTTACTGAGCGGTGTTGTCCAGATCAGTGTCAGGGTCTGCTGCTTTCAGTTATAGGAGAAGTATGTACAATGTCAGGAGAAATCACCTGAACATCTTACCAGCAAGACTGCTTGTCCTCACTTGCTGTTAGTGAGGATTCTGTCCAGGTGCTCACCCAGACACTGCAGTGTGGTGCCCAGTGGTGGCTGGTGCCTGAAACCTGCCTCAAGTATGTGATCTTCCATATTGGGGAATTGTCGGATTTTCGGCTGTTTAGATGGTCTGGAAAGGCCCGGGATGGCCTTGGGCAGCCCGCGCTCCAAAGGACGTGAAGGGACTTCAGATCTTTTCTCGGTCTCGGTGTTTATTAATTGCTTATCTAAAAGATTTTCTCTTGGCCTGACAGAGTTCTGCTCAGCAGTCAGCCATGGGCACACACCAAGAGCCCCCGGGGCGGTCACCTATCTTTATACTCGGAGTTACGTATACAATATTTATCATTTTTCTCCAATACCCTCTACCCTTATTAACCAGTGCACTTTTAGTAAGTTCCAATCCCAAAGTGCCAACATCACCACAGAAGATGGAGGCCAAGAAGAAGAAGAAGAAGGAGAAGGGCACGCCCCAATTCCTCCATCTTACTTCTTTAGACCCCCCTGTACAGAAATCTTAAACCCTGTATCTCACACTCCAATTAACTTATCCCTTCACCATTCACCCCAGTGAAATCCTCCTATCCTCATACTGATGTTGTCTCCCGTGTGGGATCAAAGTCCAGCCACCAGACACTTCTGGCAACATTCCAGGACTCCCGAGCCCCCCAGGGGTGGTCTCGGTCACTCTGCACCTCAGTCCTGAGAGGCTGAGATCCCACAGGGAATAATGTGTGTATGGAGTACTTTGAGGGGTTTCTCCAGTTCATGTCTGGAGAAAGCCTTTGTTCAGGGCTGTTTTCTCTTCTGCAGAGTAGGTGCATCTTTTTATTTGGCATGGTGGTGGAGGCACGTAAATAACAGCAATTCCCAAGATACTGAGTGTTTGCACTTTATATTGGTCTCCCTGGGACTTGGAGTGGTGTAGCACCTTTAGAAAGCAGGGTCTTTATTGATCTGTGGACTAAAAGCTGATTTCAAGTGCTTTGCAGTGGTACCTGAATGTGCTTTAAGTTTCCAAATGCACCTGCTGAATGTGGTGAGTCCATGTTAACTTCAGTTCACTTGTGTAGTATACAAAAGCAGGTCACAGAAAGGTGGTGTCTCAGTAAGGCTGGAGCTGGGGCTGGCTTTCGTCTGCTGTAACCCTGTTTACACAGGAAAGCAATGAACGCTTTTTAGTACATCTTGTAAGTGTTGCTTTTCATAGCAGCTGTAAAGGGGAAGGCGCACGTTGGACAGTAGCTCTTGATCCACAAAAGCAATTGCTCTCTGCTTGACTGGCCTGCAGAGCCATGTTATGTGCCCTGTCCTTCGTGTCCTGAAGGCAGCAGACAGAGCTTGTATGGCATAGACTCTGTGATTTCTTGTTTATGACGTTCCACTACATGTTCATTTCTTTCCGGGATCTGTAAACCGTTCCTGCAGCATGGGAGTGAGGCTCAATATACTTACCTAAATTACCTAGGTCCACCGGTGGTAGTGTACTTTTAGCTTGATGGGAATGATTAATCTGAGGCACTTCAGCCCCCTAGGAGACAATTTGAAATGCTGTTTTTGAAAGCCTGTTCTAAATACTTTCTTAGTAGTGGGTACATCATGGATTTCTTTGGTAAATTTCTTTGGTTAGAGAAAGATCCCCAGTTGTTCTGCATTTTATAGCTTTCTATTAATACATTTAATTGAAAAGTAAATGCCATCTGCCTTGATACTCCATCATCTGTTTGTGTGAAGTAAGTGTTCTCCTGGGTGGCTTGTCCAGAACACTTCTTGGAGCAAAAATAAGAGTAGGTCCACTCCTGTGCCTTTCTCCTCTTATCCAAGTGACTGCTCTTGCTGACTGCAGAGGGCTTAAAGCTTTCTTGTGTGTCTTTGCCAGAGCCACCCAGATCTGTGTGATAGAGTTGGGGGGAAGGTCTTCTGCTGTCTTAAGTGAATTTGTAGCTCTCTGAATTAAAGTGAAGATTGTTATATGAATCTCATAATCTATTTCAGTAGAGAGACAGTGGTTTCCCACCCATTAAGCTCTCAGCCAAGACTTCACCCCATATCTGGAGCAGGACAATGTGGCCTTGCCTTGTTCTAAGTCATCTCGAATGTTGGTGGCTATGGATGTCACATCCGGTGGCAGAGGTAGAAGGATGAGGACATGTTTCTTGTTAGAACATTTTACAGAGGGGAAGGGGAAACTCCCTGATTGCATCCGCAGCTCCAGGTTGTCTGCTGTCACATGCACTGCTGGGAATAGTCCAAGATGATACAAGTTCTGTGGCATTCAGCCCTGCTTGGTGTGGTGACAACACTTGGCATGTGAATGTAGCTGACATAACTCACATATTTCCTCTCCTGTTTGAATGCTTGTTTAGGCTGTTATTGAGTGGTACTCTAAAGAGAGCCTAAAAAGCCCTAGGGTTTATAACCTGGCATTCTGTAAAGAAGGAAGGAGAAGTATAGATGTGGTGGAGTTTACCTGTGTGGAAGAGTTGTTTGGAGTAGAGTGGCTACACAGAATAGTATTTGCACAATAAATGGAGATGAGATAACAGGATGTTTTGCAGATTGAAAATTCTTACATTCAGAATCTCCCCAAGACTAATTCCAAGGGATCCTTGATTAGCTGAGACTTCAAATTTAGATTTTATAAGAACAAAATTTACATTCTGTTCAATGTAATGGAATAACTGAATTGTGCTAACATGTTTAGTTTGAACTGTACCTCCCCTTGTACTGGTGGAATGTGGTGTTGTTTAGATGGCAAGAGTCCTGTTCTGTTTTCTTTCCTGGCTGAAGTGCTAAAAATGCCAGCTGCTATAATTCAGGTGGGCTTTGAGAATAGAGTGGAGACACATCAGGCTCATTAATAGTTCTGAAGGTATCTTATCAGCAAAGTGACTGGTGATTATTATGGTTAGACTTGCTTACAGCTAGCCTGTTGATAAGCACAATGCACTTGGTGTCAGCTGGGACTTTCTTTTCTCAGATGGTCATTTACTGCAGATTAGCAGGTAGTTAGGGTGTGAGCTTGGGGAGGAAAACAGGATGATGTTCTTCCCTCTGTCTGCTGCTATGTACTCGCTCTTGGTGTGTTCACTTAAAGGCTTGTGCAGACAGAGCAAAGGTTCTCTGGATCCTAATTGGCTGGCAGACCTGAGGGCTGGTGAGGACGAAGCTTCTTATTATGAACCATTGGTGTAGCTGATGGTCTCAAGGAGGAGGGCAGTCACGTATGCAATCAAAGCTGCTGTTTCAATAGCATCAGTGGGATTTGTCTGCACTGCTCTGTAGCGGTGGGAAAACTTGTGTTTTGGAGAATACTAGTAGTTAATATTAGACATGAGGCAACAGCACTACAGAGCCAAAGCATCCCTGTTCCTTACTGCACTGTCCATCTCTTCCTCTGTTTGACAGGTATCCGCTCAGTGAGCTTCTACGAGCACATCATCACTGTGGGGACAGGGCAAGGGTCCTTGTTGTTTTATGATATCAGAGCCCAGAGGTTCCTGGAAGAAAAGCCCCCCCGTGCCTGCTATGGACAGAAGCAGAAATTAGGAGGAAGTGAAATTTTGAAGTTGACAACTGGGAAAGGCTGGCTGGTAAGTAGTTTGTAGCTGTGATAGAGGTGGGGGGAAGTAAACCCATTATATGGGAGTGGCACAGAGCATGAGCAAGTTCTCTTTGGACCCTTTGTGTGAAATGTATCTCAGTCAAACAGTATTCATGTAACCAGTAACTAAAACTGAAGAGCAAGAAGTTCTGCAGAACTGCTTTCCACAAAAGCTTTATGAAAGAGTACTGAAGGCTATTTGTTTGAGTGTAAGGCATAGTGATTACAGTTCTTAAGCATGGATTCATAAATGAACTAGATTTTATTTCTTTGTATTTTCAAATGTAATCTAACTTGTAGTTTTCAGAACCTCAAACAGAAAATCAATTGTCTTTCTTTAAAGCCATGGTAATCTAATGTGGTACTTGAAGCAGGAGACTTTGAATTTAATTGTTTGCAGTTTTAGAAACTGTGGCTTCCTAAGGTAATGCCTTGGCAGGCACTTGAGTTTGGTTTCCTGTATGTTATCAAAAAGCAGTTAATGACTTTGTTTAACTTAGCTCTGTTATCTTTTGTTGTATCAGTGCAATGTCCCATCACCTCCCCATTCCAATGCTTGACCAAAATGTCCTCAGAAAAAGGTTCAGGACAACTCAGGTATCTTTTAGTTGACTTCTCTAAAGCTTCAGGACTGTTAAGAGAAAATACCCCTTTTAGGCTCTGTAAGCTACCAAATGCTTTTGTGAAACAGGGTTTTGGGTTTGTTTGGCAACAATAATGATCTAAACTTTGCCTTAACAGAACCATGATGAAACCTGGAGGAATTATTTTTCTGACATAAATTACTTCCCCAATGCTGTTTACACCCACTGCTACGACTCGTCTGGAACGAAACTGTTTGTGGCAGGAGGCCCTCTTCCATCAGGACTTCATGGGAATTATGCTGGTCTCTGGAGCTAATGATAACTCTTCATTCTGATGCTGATCTTTACACAGATTTCCACTTTTCATTTTTTAAACAACAAAATTGTGTGATGCCATTGATTCCTGATTTAAACACAAGTTATTTTTTTGGCAGAGTTTTCTGTTGGTCTCCAACAGTTTTGTACATCTTTTTGAACTAGTTTTTTGCTTTAACCTCCTTTATCCTTTATATGGAGGGGTTTTGAAGTCCTTTTGTATTGTATTTACTCCAAATGACTCTTCCCTCCATTTAGGCTGGCTTGGCCATGTGTCCCCTCCTCTACTTTGCTGTGAGGTAGGATTTCTTTCTTATAGAGTGGTTGCTCCTGAGCTTTCTGTGAAAGTCTTGGGGCTGCATGTGTGCAGGTACTTTGTGTCAGTTACATTACCTGGAGTGAGGACTACTTGTAATTAAAAACTATTAAAAATATTTATAAGAGATAACTACTACTTTATCTGGAGAGCCTGGCCCTGGCCTGGGCTGATCATATTTTTTAAAAGTACAAGCCTAATGACACTGTTTTTACATAGAGGGATTTTCATTTTAAGCTGTACTCACTGGAGCCCAGGGATGGATTCCTTAGGGGTATTGACCATCAGATCCAAAGTGCAGGAGTTCTTAAAAATGCATTTGTGTTTGAATAGTAGTTTTCAGCAGTGCTAGGAGCAAAAATTGGTCTGTTTCTTCACTGCCCATCCCAGGTATCAGCTTGCACAACTGGAGTTTGTATAGGCTGTTCTGCAGGGTGACATTACATTGACGGCTGCAGAGATGCTGAGAGGAAATGGAGGCTAGATATTCAAATTAACTAAATCTATCTGTTCTCCAGATGAGAAATGGTTTCTCAGTATGCTTGTTAGGGTAGCTTAAAATCTCTTCGTAAACTGCCTAAAACCTTGGACCTTTTTTATCCCAGGTTGTGGAAATTTTTCCCCTTTTTGCTGTTCTGGTTGGCCATGTGCTCAAAGAAGCTAATGGAATAAATAAACTATTTTTTTCACCCAGATTAAAGAGTGCATCTCAGACTTTACTAATACAAGTGAGCAGCTTTCCGCATAGGGAGGATATCTTGGTGTTCCCTCACTTTGCGCTAGCATATGCTATAGGAGAGGCTCAGGCTTTTCCAGAATCCCCTGCTGCCTTCTGTGTTCAGACTCCCTCCAACTTCATCTGGCACTAGGAGGGGAGAACAGATCCAGTGCCCATCAGGTCCAGCTGTGAAGCGTGTGCCTCCCAGGGTGATGGTCTTACCAATACTCAGCTAAAATGTAAGACTCCAAGGTGCTCCTCCTTTTGGCAGGCACCAGACTCTCAGCTTGTTAGTGATGCCTCTGCTCTCTGCTGGAATTAATGCCTTTCCCCTGACATTGGTGGAGCAAAGTGTGCCTGTGCCTCACAGCTTTGGTGCCACATGAGCAGTTGATCAAACTGAGAGAAAAGACAAGGCTGGGACATGCTCTGTTCTCCCATCTCTGTGAGAGATCATAGCTACCACTGCAGTTACTGGCCACAACCCGGAGCTAATCTGCATTTATCTTTACAGTCTCTCTCATCTTCAAACTAGTATCTTCATCAGTAACCCCAAGCAGTCAGCATCAGGCTTAAGTTCCAGCTGGTATGGATACCTGGATGGAAATCCTACAAGGAGTGTGCAAGTCCCTCTCATTGGGGTGGAAATCCTGGCAAGAGAACTCTCTCCCAGGTGTGCACCTGTCCCAGAGGTACAATTAGCACTGAGCATTAATACAGGTGCTTCACAAGCAGATCTTCCAGTGTTTGATAATACCATTGTGGCCTGGTTGCATAAACTGCATCAGTTCAAGGTACTGTGTGTAAGGCTAGACAGGCTTTTTTCTGAAAAGGTAAAATTATATACCATGAGCTAGCTGCTTTGGTTATTTTAGGGGCTTAGAAAAGTGGAAATATATGAAGAAAAACAAGTCTTGGAGAAGAATGGCAGGATTTGTGTCCTTACAGCTACTGGGTAAGATAATTCTGTCACAAGAAATATGTTCTGCTTTGGTTTGTTTGTTGTTTAAATTTGGTTTGGTTTGAAGTTTTTTGCTTTGTTTTTTTAAAGAAGCTAGATACTTGAGTCTACCTGAGTGTCCTCCAGTTCTGCTGAAGCAACAGGTAATATCTGGGCATTTAGTATCAGCAGTGCTAAAGGGAGACTCCTTGTCTGGAAATTCTAGCCCTGGTGTTGATCTATTAATTGAAGCATATTTTAGGCCATGATAGGAGGAAAAATAGTATGTGTGTGGCCTTTAAACAAAAAGGCTGATTTTTCTGCAGTCTCTAAGTTACTGAAGAGGCACCACTGGAAATTGCCCCTCCCTACTGACTGATCTCCACAAGTACCTCAGTATGTGTTCCTAAAGCCTGGTAATGTGAGTGCACTTTTCTCCTTTTTTTTCTTCATAGAAGGCTCTGCACAATTCTCAGATTAATCTGGAAAAAGATGTAAAATGTCCCAAGTGTCACATGCTTTTGTGTATTCTGTTTCCAGGGTGCTTTCTTGCAAAAATAACTTCTCACAGTAAGGGAGCCATCCTTGTTCTGTATGGAAATCCCCACAAAAAAACTAGGAACCAAACCAGATAGTGCTGCAAGCACATAAACAATTTGGACTAGAGATAACTTAACTTAATTTTTAGCTAGTTTCAGTGGTTTTAAATGCTTACAGCAATATAGATATTAAGTTTCAAAATATTTCTGTGGTTTGTCATACAAAACTTTTGTTCCAATCACTGTTAGAAACGGAGGCATAGAAAGATGATGATGATATGCCAATTGCCCAAACATAAGTAATAGGAGAAAAACGGAAATTTTTTTACTTTGATTTTTGTTGCCCTGTGTCCTGGTTTAGGGCAAATTTGTTAAAGAATCTGCAAAGGAGGGCCCCTCCAGAAAGCAAAACCCACACGGCCCCTTCCCACAACCGGTTTGGGAAAAAATTCCTTGGAGAGAGGTGGAAAGAATCTGTTTATTTGACTGGCACAGCACCCCCCAGCACACAAAATGAACAATACCCGATGACACCACTCTGAGAAAGATGACAAAGTCAGCAAGTCTCTTTCGGGGGTGATTGCTCTGTTCTCAGTCCCTCCGGCACTGGGGCAGCTGCTGCAGTCGAACGGTGTTCCCGGGTCCCAGTCTGGAGCAGGTCACAGAAACAGGAGAGGAGAAACAGTCCAGGAAGGGATGTGGACTGTTTAGCTAGAACTAGCTAATAAGCAGAGGTCAAAGCAGAGCAGAAGCAAGAGCAGAAAAGAGAGCAAACAAAGCAGCAAGCTGAAAGCAAGAAGTGAAAAACAGCCCTATGTACTGCTCGTCTCTGTGTCCCTGATAAGAGAAACCCAAACAGAACTTCCACTCTTCAGAGTCGGTCTTAAAGGCACAGAACAGATGAATGGGGATACAAGCATCATAACGTCACCCCAGGACGTTCCACCCCTTATCCCTATATCATCAACATGCTACAACACATCATGCATTTTCCATACAAAATTTCCATGTGTTTCCCCAAAATTACAAGCAATACCCATCATGCCTTCATCACATCCCCACACTGGACCACTGAATCCAGGCCCTATATTACAGAGCTGCAGAGCCCCTTTTCACTTTAGTCACTTAAAGCTCCATCTATCACTTGCTCAGACCTTTGACACTTACACATTTCCTTCTCCATCTTCCACTTGCCCAGACCTTCAACTCTTACACATTTCCTTCTATCTCATGTCTGTATGGTTTAATGTACAGACAATGGCAGTAACATCCAATGAACAGTGATATTGCATATGATTCTTACCCCACAATCAGATCTCCCTGAGGTACACATCATGTTGTTCCATCTCTTTGCATTATCCACCATGTGCAACCTGGTTCCTGAGCAAAGACCACCCCACGAATGGGTTTGTCTGTACTCGAGGCAGAATTGATCCACACAGTCTTTCCTAACAAACCTCTGATATGTACCACTGGGACTTTGTCTCCTTCTGTTACATTCAGGGACTCAGACTGGGCAGCACCTGCTCGGTTGGTGGAACCTCGGGTGTTGACTAACCAGGTGGCCTTTGCTAAATGCTGCTCCCAATTCTTGAAAGATCCCCCACCCAAAGCTTTCAACTGGGTTTTTAGTAGTCCATTGTACCTCTCCACTTTCCCTGCAGCTGGTGCATGGTAGGGGATATGGTACACCCACTCAATGCCATGTTCCCTAGCCCAGGTGTTGATAAGGCTGTTCTTGAAATGAGTCCCGTTGTCTGACTCAATCCTCTCAGGGGTGCCATGTCTCCACAGAACTTGCTTTTCAAGGCCCAGGATGGTGTTCCGGGCTGTAGCATGAGACACAGGGTAGGTTTCCAGCCATCCAGTGGTGGCTTCCACCATGGTCAGCACGTAGCGCTTGCCCTGGTGTGTCTGGGGCAGTGTGATGTAGTCAATCTGCCAGGCCTCCCCATACTTGTACTTGGACCACCGCCCACCATAGCAGAGGGGCTTCACTCGCTTGGCCTGCTTGATGGCAGCACACGTCTCACAGTCATGGATAACCTGAGAAATACTGTCCATGGTTAAATCCACCCCTCGGTCTCGTGCCCATTTATAGGTGGCATCTCTGCCCTGGTGGCCTGAGGCATCATGGGCCCATCTAGCTAGGAATAACTCTCCCTTATGTTCCCAATCTAGGTCTATTTTGGACACCCCTATCTTTGCAGCTTGGTCTACCTGCTCATTGTTTTGGTGCTCCTCATTGGCCCTACTCTTGGGTACATGGGCATCTACATGGCGGGCTTTCACAGGTAGCCTCCCTACCCTGGTAGCAATGTCTTTCCACTCATCAGCAGCCCAAATTGGTTTTCCTCTATGTTGCCAGTTAGCCTTTTTCCACCTCTCCAGCCATCCCCACAGAGCATTGGCTACCATCCATGAATCAGTGTAGAGGTAGAGCTTTGGCCACTTCTATCTCAGCAATGTCTAGGGCCAGTTGAACAGCTTTGAGTTCAGCAAGTTGGCTTGATCCACCTTCTCCTTCGGTAGCTTGTGCAACCTGTCGTGTGGGGCTCCATACGGCTTCCGGTTCATCCCCACGATGCGACAGGAACCGTCAGTGAAAAGAGCGTAGCGTGTTTCCTCTGGGGGCAGTTGGTTGTAGGGAGGAGCCTCTTCAGCACGTGTCACTGGTTCTTTGTTGCAGTGTGTTGTAAACTTCCTGTTTTAAACTTCCGGGTCCCTTCCCCAGGTGTGCCAGTACCCCTCTTCCCCTTCCCCCCTCGCCTCCTGCTGGGCTGTCAATCAGTTTTAACATCCCAGTAAGGCGTGGTGTGGTTCGTCACTTTCAAAGGATGCCCCTCAGGCCCTGGGGTCATTGGCCTGTCTAGGTGTCATCCTCCCCTGAGACCCTGCCCCTCCCACCTGGTTGGTGGCTCACCTCTCCCCTCCCCTCCCCCTGGCCCAGGAGCTTAAAAAGGTAATCAGACCATGCGGTTGGGATTCTGTTGGAGCTGTTGCCTATATTCAGATCTCTGTAACCATG